TCTCGAGCTCCTGACCTCAGCTGATGCACCCGCCTCGGCCTCGCAAAGTGCTGGGATTATAGGCATGAGCCACCGCACCCAGCCAATTGCATACCCTGGATCAAAAAACCATTTCCCTCAAGTTAGAATATGTGATATTTATTGTACATTGAGTGCCCTCTGCTGCTTACCCAAAGCTTTCTAAACCTTAACCAAACTCGTAAAGCTTATAAGCAGTGGGACAATTTGGAGCCTTAAACTCCCAAATTCTGAAATGTCTTCCGACACGATTTTCCACAACAATCTGTAGCGTGTCTGGAGCAAGGATGGGGGCATCATGATTCAGGGGTCCCCAAGGAGGGTCTATCATAGACTGTTGCTTTTTAAAGTAGCAATGCTTTAAACTGTCATTGTAGATTTAAGAACCTGTGGTTCAAATGTCTCAGTTTAGTATGTAAAACCCTTTACCTCCAAGCTCCTGCCTATTTCTGCCTCACTCCTTTACTTCAAGCCATCATGATTTACATGGTATAATGCTAATGGATCATTGTTTCACAGAAGTTCTTTCCATCCTTTTAGTTCTTTTCCACTCCTTCAGCAAGATGAGGAGCTCTCTCTTGTCCTTCAGCACTGAGCTTTGTATTTCCTTTTTATGCCAAACCAGGAAAAACAAATAGTAACTTTGCCAACTTTTGTTTGCAAACGCCTTTCATAGTAATCTATAATCTCACCAACTCCTTTAGAAAACAATCATCAATTTAACATTTTTTCATCATGTATGAAAGAAATGATTTTAAGTTTAAAATATTTTATTGTATATCAACATGTTTTAAACATTGTACTATAATCATTTCAGTATACCTTTAAATATTTTATTAAGACAAATTTCACTTTCCACAGTCATGTAGTGATGGGCTATATTTAATTTGTTTTAAAATAACTGAGTCAAGAAAAGCAAGTGTGTCAACAATGAATTGTAAAATGGTATATTTAGCTTGAAGACTGAATGTATAAGGAAGTATATACTACTATGGCATCAAAAAAGACAAAACACTTTTACAGTATGATGTTTGGAATATCTGAAATTAAACATCAGTGGATCATTTTGATAATATTTATGTATTTATTTTTTGAGACAGAGTCTTGCTGTGTCGCCCAGGCTGGAGTGCAATGGCAAGATCTCAGCTCACTGCCACCTCAACCTCCCAGGTTCAAACGATTCTCCTGCCTCAGCCTCCTGAGTAGCTGGGATTACAGGTGCCCTCCACCATGCCCGGCTAATTTTTGTATTTTTAGCAGAGACAGGGTTTCACCATGTTGGCCAGGCTGGTCTCGAACTCCTGACCTCAGGTGATCTACTCACCTCGGCCTCCCAAAGTGCTGGGATTACAGGCGTGAACCACTGCTCCTGGCCTATTTTGATAATTTTTAGGCTTTTCCTTCCTAAATGATGAGACTAGAGAGAAGTTAGCCTGCCACTTGCAAGCGTTCTCTCCAAATAACACATTGCAGGTGTGAATTCTGTTTGGCTTAAAAACCAAACTGAACATAATTTTCCTTATATTTACTCCATTTAACATTGGCATTTAGATTAAGAGTCATTCTGAGGCCATACCTAACATTTTTATCAGATGCATGCAAATAATGGAACCATCAGTCATCATGCAGAGGTAAACTTTCAGAATTAGTGCCTTTTTGTTAACTTGGTCTTATAACATCAAAATTCTTTGTGCTTGTCATACTCAAATTCACATTATGAAAACAAATTAAATGCTCAGAATAAAAGCAATTTTAACTGTTTAACTGCTAAAGCTACTTTTCCATGCTACTGCTATGCAGCTGGATAACTATTTCCAAACTGAAACACAAGCGCGCTTTTCTGATCCCTATCTGCTGTGCATGGTCACATGATATGCAATTGGAGGCTTGCAATGCATTTTATTTTGAAAGGGAGAAGCTAAATACTTACTGATATTTTTAAAGGAAGAGTTAAAAACAACCACCATTTCTGCCTTTACAATGTGATCCCCAAAAGCCTTTCTAAACAAACAGTAGCTGGAACACGCTGAAAATGAATAAATAGAATCCCTGTCCTTAAACACGTCCCAGCCTGGCAGAGAGAAGGGTAAGTAAACAGGGTGGTGCAGGAACCGATACGGACCATCGATGGGCACAAAGTATTATGGGAACACAGAGAGGAGCCACTAACCTGCTTTAGAATGCCCAGGATGATTTACTAAGAGAACCGACATGAAGGATGGCAACTTCGATCGACCCAGAAGCCTTCCCTAGTACTTACCCAGGGTCTGATGTAGATGTCACTCGGTGGTCCCAGCAGCTTGTCACAGCTGACAGCACACTGCTTATTATTGGTTTACTTGTTCATCTTTCTCCACAAAACGGTAAGCTCCTCAAAAGCAAGGACTTTGTCATTGCATCTACAGTGCCTGCTGATACATAAGAACTATCTGATAAGTAAATATAAGCAGTCTATGATGAAAATACTTCTCTAAGACAGGCTGATGTTTGAAGACAGTATTTTTATGTCTATACCACGATATGTTTAAAGAATGTGTATTTGTGTTTGAAATGCCAATGCCAAATATTAGGTGCAAGCACAGGGTCAGGAACCATGGGAGACGCAGACAAGACACAATCACTGCTCTCCAGAAACTTACAGTGTAAACTGGAGGCTTCATGGTCCCCACCTGGATCTAAACTGGCACATCTTCCATGTGTTTATATTTTGGAGTCCCACAAAACACTTTTTTTGAATAAAGGGCTCCATTTTGTTAAAAAAAAAAAAAATTGACAACTCTGATCAAGTAAATAAGAAAGCTGTTTTCTAGGTGTAGAGTTTCCCATTTTTAAGATTAGAAGGAAATTTAGATGCAAGGAATTGAGAATTTACATTTTTAGATGTGTTCCTATTTCTTTGAATTTCATCTTAGTTTTCCCTCACCAGTTGCCTTTTAGCACCTAATAGGCAATCTGTAGCAATGTACAGATGTTATACAGTAATAAAAGTGCTCATTCTTCCCTATACACTGCAATATCACGTATTTGCTACTATCCAGAAAAAGGTTCTACATATATCCTTTCTAAAGTTACTGTGAAGTATCTTCAGGATCTATACTTCACGATGGTTATTCTAAGGTGTTTAATCAAAACCACTACCTAATTTCTCTATAGCATGTGGAATTTAACATCCCACTTTCAAAATAGAATGGTTTAAAATTAATTGACTTAAGATGCTGCAGACCCACATACAGTGACTCTTCTATGAGGTTTACAGGAAAAATGAGCCAAAAGACATATAGGTACGGTATTCTTTATTATAAACAATCAGATAATAGTGTAAGTGTGCATTTGATGGATAACTGAAGCCAAGTTATAATAGAAAGCATGACTTCACTCAAATAGAAAGTTTCTTTGTTGTTGTTGACCTGTTTTACATTAATTTGAATTTAATATGCTAGGATCACCTAAACTTATCATACAGTTCTGCTATTAAAATCCTAACAGGGAAAGACAAAATGTGAAATGCATGTTATATTTTGCTTTATTTGTTGAATATATATATATACACACACTAAATATTTGGGACACATTCAAAGTTAAGCAGGTGCTTAGAGTCTATCAAGTGATATTTATGAAATGTTTTTGTTGCTGCTTTGTTGCTGTTATGGGAACATCCATATCCTCCAAAGACAATAAAAAAGAGGATTCTAAATGCTAGGTGGTTGGCTAACTTTTCCTAATTTATACTGAGTGTAAAACAAAACAAAACAAAACATAAGGTATATGTGTTACGTAGTGACATCTTTATAGTTCCAAACCAGTGGCAACTATTAAAATATCATCCAGCTAAAACAAACTTTTCACAATTTTTTAACAGAAAAATAATAAACCAACAACAAAAACGGGTAAATGTTCTGGGTGTTGTGAGCAGACCAAAATGTTACTATAGTGTTCTCTGTTGTATGATCCTTGTCCGTGGCAACCTTAAACATGCACCGCCGTGCTCATGTTTAGAGGCTTAGCTGTCTGCTTCAATAGTTATCCTGGAAAGAATGCTATTCGGTTTTTTCTTTTATTGTCTACATCAAGGAATGAGTGCTAAATGAGCACATTTAGAAGCCTGAAATCAAATACTGCATTCATTTTTTGAAACTCTTGGTAGCAAAAGAAAAAGCTGATTAAAATATGATTATGTTACAATGACTAAGGGGTTAACTTCTCATCACTTCTAAATTCTTCAAATTTTACAAGCATCTTAATAAAGGCTTTTGATGAGACATGACTGGTGATGATCATATGTGCCAATTTAGTAATTTATTTGTCACAGAAAATTCAGGTTCACTGCAATATTGTGTTCTGGCTTCCCAAAGCTGCAGGGAAATACAAGTTTTTTGTTGCTTGATTTTTGTTTAGAGGCAGGGTGTCACTTTGTCACCCAGGCTAGAATGCAGTCGTGTGATCATAGTTCACTACAGCCTCAAACTCCTGGGCTCAGGTGATCTTCCCATCTTGGCCTCCCAAAGTGCTGGGACTACAGGAATGAGCCACTGCATTCAGATTGTTTTTTGTTTTTAATGTCATTTATGAGCCACCAGTTTAGATTAATTCTGTAAAGGTGTAAGATTACCAGAGGAGGCCAGGCGCGGTGGCTCACGCCTGTAATCCCAGCACTTTGGGAGGCTGAGGTGGGTGGATCACAAGGTCAAGAGATAGAGACCATTCTGGCTAACATGGTGAAACCCCATCTCCACTAAAAATACAAAAATTAACTGGGCGTGGTAGCCCATGCCTGTAGTCCCAGCTACTTGGGAGGCTGAGCCAGGAGAATGGCTCAAACCCAGGAGGCAGAGGTTGCAGTGAGCCGAGATCGCACCACTGCACTCCGGCCTGGTGACAGAGCAAGACTCTGTCTCAAAAAAACAAAAAAACAAAACAAAAAAATAACCAGAGGATAAGTTCGATAGCTGGTAGAGAGATCATGAAAGCTATGTTTGATCTCTGGAGCAAAAGCTGTGTTGAAGTTCTCCCATGGAATGGTTCCCATATGAGACTCACCATATTAATGCCTTTTCCAAGAGAAAGGGAGACGGAGAATTACTGGAAAATAGGGAAGCAAGGAGAGGAACAAAACCCACTTTGAGACATGGAAGAAAAGTAGCATTTATACAAGGAATCCATTACGTGACTCTGCAGAAGAGCAAGGAAATAAAAATTTCAAAACAGAGATAAGAAATTAATTACATTCTTTCAAGCAAAAGACAGATTGCATTGTTTTGTTTTAAAAGTTCTGAAACATGAAGATGTCTGTACAAATAGATTCACTATTCGATTCTCGCCTCCATGAGGGCTGGGACTGTCTTCTATTTACATTTGATTCTACAGTTCCTAACATTGTACCTGACACCTATAGGTAGGTGCACAATACATAGTTGATGAACCAATCAACTACAGATTTTTCTAAACACTACATGAGCCACATATTACATTTTTCAACGTAAAGTGTAATAATTCTTTTCTATTGTGTATGTATGAAAGTTTCTATTAGATAACACTAGTCATTATAAGAGGTGACAGTAGTAGCTCAATCATATATCTTTCTCACATGATCATTTCTACCTTGAATACAATTTAATTAGAAAAACTACCATGTGCACTAATGCTAGAAAGAGTTGAGCTAAAATGTATAAATGAAGAAATTTCTTGGATTACTGAAGTGCTGTCTGTTACAAGCATAACTGCTATCTTAAATTGTACATTTTTAAAGAGGGTGTGAAATATTTTTCCAAGCAATGTAGTGTTTAGTGCATGGCAAGTATGTATATGAAAGTACCTGGAAATTTGGGGATTTTCCTCCCTCATCTAAAGTAAAATAAGAACATGTTTTTAATATTGTGTATATTTTTAAAAGATATATTATTATTCATTACCACTGTTCCCCAGAAATTATAGACGATTATGAAATTATTATCACTTTACTTGGGAATTTATTTCCAGCTATGAGACTTCAGATAATCACTGGAGACACTAGGTTAAATAACTAATTGATCCAATAATATGTCTAGATCTTCTCAAAGTCTTTACTGTTGATTTAGTAATCTGCAAAGAGTTAATATTTGCCAAGAGGCAAGAAAACGTGGCAAAAGAGTGTCCTTCCCAGGAGACTGGAACGTGGGAAATGAGAAAGTGTAAGTTGACGTGTGACACTTTTCTCCAACCTTTGCTTTCACCTGCTTCTTGACACCAGACTGAAACACGTGCTATTCTGGCACGCTGCGCAGACTTGAAGTTTGCAGGACGGCATGACACGAACAACCAGGACAACAGGAGCCTGGTCTCCTCTGTGGAAAGCAGGAGTCTCCCTGGGTGGCTCTTGGAGCAAGTTCTGGTCTTATCTTGTAATTTGGGAAACAGCATTTCATGCTATCTTCGTATTTATTTTCCCATATTAGACTCTGTTTTTACAGCGGTAGACTGAGGGAACATGACTTTCGGCTTCACAGTTTTTTTTTTCTTTTCCGATCACAGTTTGTTTAAAATGTACCACTGAATATGAACACAGGAGCCCAGCTACAGGTATGTCAACCTTCGAAATAAAGTTTCTACGGATTATCTCATTAATTCATTGTACAAGCTTTTTTTGTTTTTTTTTTTTTTCTTGCCAATAGCACTAAAAGTGACATCATTTCAACCGGAGGGGTTTCACTGCTTTGTTTCATCTGAGTGATATTTGCTCTAGTGCTGCTAATACCTGACTTTTGCTGTATAAACAGTTTCAGTGTTTCTGTGAGGCCACACAACATGCTTTATAATGACACGGCTGACTAAAGCTGCCTTTTATTCTGCTAACACCCTGCAAATACTGTTGACAATACTGCCTCTCAATTGTTTCCTCCCACGAAATCTGCTGCTTATAGCACAGGCACCAAAGGCCTGCTTTTCCAATTGCACTGTGCTGGCATCAGGTTAACTAGAAAGCACAAAGCAAATGGTGATTTAAAAAAATAGGAACAGTATACATTCTGTGTATTTACACATGTTTTTAGAAACTTCAGTTAGTTGCAAATCTGAAATGATACAAGCCACTCCCTGCAATAGCCTCTATCCTATGGAAATGCAGCTTAAGACATGACTGTTAAGACACTGAAGAAATGGGGTTATGTGGAGAGCCCATCTGAGTCAGAACTTTGTCCAGCCACTGCAGCGGCCCATGAAGATGAATCTCAATCCAGCAGGGGGTGCTGGTGACATCCTGACGATGATACTCAGCGCCCCAACCCTGAAAAACAAGAAGGGAGCTGAGTGATGGTGCCACACTTACACTCAGCCTCCAGAGCCCCAGGCACAGCTCAGCAGGGGCAGAGCCCACACTCCAGGGTAGCTCCTGAGACCTGAGACAGAGAGAACATGGCCTCTACCTTCCTGTAAACACGGGTCAACTCTCGCACCAACCAGATGCCTTCAGATGAATCCAAATCAGTAAATTCCCTCGCAACTGAATACTCGGATCTAGAGAGGTTCTGGCACTCCAGTCACATGGGAAGCATTGAAAAATCATTTTCCCTTCCACAAAGGAAGAAACTTGACCTTCTGTTCACCCCTTCATGCCCAGGACAGTGTTTTGCTGGTTACTGCAGACCAGTGACTGGACCTGAAAGTCGTAAAGACAGAACTGGAAGGCGCTCTTGGTTTTTCAGGGCTGATTATCAAAGCTTGCTTGTTCTCTCTCGTTCTCTCTCTCTCTCTCTCTCTCTCTCTCTCTCTCTGGTTCACCTGGCAATTTCCCTTTTATCACCATTCAAAGGAGAGACAGTAAAAAAATTTTTAAAAATAATTTGCATATTTTTCTCTATATGTTATACACCAATGAAAAGATATTTCAAAATGAAGGGATATCACAGCCAAGTCAATCAGTTTTGTGACTGGGAGTGATTCTCTGTAGAGTTTTTTACAACTTGGATTTCAACACAACCATGCTGCCTGATCACATTTTACTTTCACTACTGAGAACCTCAAGGGGACCTGTGATGTCCCCAGCAGTCACAACCTACCCTCCAGTCCCCTCTTTCATGTCCCCCTCCTAGGTGACTGCTCCTCCCCACTAAAACCTCCAACTCCTTTTCCCCTGTCCATACCTGCAACTGATGGATTTATTTTGTATTTTAACGAGAAAAAGGAAGACATCAGAAATAAGAGTTTCCACAGGACCTGCACCCACATACTTGGCCTTTCTACCTCTTACCACAGATTAATTATCTATGTTTCCAAATAAGCTGATCCACCCACTTATGCACTCTCAGACCTGCCTTCCCAGAGACATCATTCCAGCAAATCTTCTCCTCCTCTCCTGCAATCTTTTGCATCTACTATATCATTCCCGTCAACACATGAACACACTGAAATACCTTCCGTCTGAAAGATACTTCTCCACCCCCACCAGCTACTACCCTATGTCTTTATCCCCTTTCTGGCAAAAACCCTCAGAAGAGTCATCCACACTGGCTGTCTCAGTTTGTCTCCTTCCATTCTCTCAAATCCATTCTGATCATTTCACCCCAGCCGCCAACAAAACTTTTCTTGTCAAGATCAAAAAAGGCCTTCATATTGTAAAAATGAATTATTAGCTCTCAGCCTTTGTGTTACGTGGGTAGCATTTGATTTAGTTCATCACACCCTCTCATCAATGCACTGTTTTTTCTTGGCTTCCAAAGCACCACACTTCTTGGTCTTATTACTACTTCACTGGCTGGTCTCTCAGTTTTCTTTGCTGATTCTGTCCCATCTTTAAATGTTGAAGTGTCCCAGGGCTCAGTCCTGGAGCCCCCTTTCTTCTCTATTTTTATTTACTATTTATTATTATTATTATTACTTTTGAGACGGAATCTGGCTGTCACACAGGCTGGAGTGCAATGGTGCGATCTCGGCTCACTGCAACCTCTGCCTCCCAGGTTCAAGTGATTCTCCTGCCTCAGCCTCCCAAGTAGCTGAGATTACAGGCATGCACCACTACACCTGGATAATTTTTGTATTTTTAGTAGAGATGCAGTTTTGCCACGATGGCCAGGCTGGTCTTGAACTCCTGACCTCAAGCAATCCACCCACCTTAGCCTCCCAAAGTGCTGAGATTACAGGCGTGAGCCACCACGCCCGGTCCTTCTGTTTAAACTCAAACCTTTGGTGTTCTCATCCAGACTTACGTAGTTAAATACTGTCCCTTTGCTGACAATTCCCAAACTTGTATTTCGGGCCCAAATCTCTTTCCCCGAATCCAGACTCTCACATCGAACTGGCTACTCAGCAACTCCACTTGAATGTGGACAGACATCTCAATACACCTGCATCTTCATCTTGATTGAAGGCAACTAACTTCATCTTCCTCTTTTTCTCACCCCCACGCCTCATCCGCCTTCACAATTCAGAATCCTTCCACTTCTCACAGCTGTACTGGATCCCTCCAGGTGAGGGCGACTCTCATCTGAATATTGCAATAGCCTCCTAACTGGTTTCCCTACTTGCAACCTTGTCTGTATAATACCTATCCTCCACACGGCAGGCAGGGCGATCCTTTAAGAACAGAAGTCAGATCATGAAAATGCTCTGCTCCGATCCCTGCAAAAGCTCGCCACCTCCTCAGAGCCACCGATAAACTCCAAGGAGTGGCTCAGGAGGCCTCGCTGTGGTTCCCTGCAGCTGCTCTCATCTCGCTCCCCCTGCTTATTAGGCCCCAGCCACACTGGCCTGCCTGCTCTTCAGAATTTCCAGGTGTACGCTGTTGCCTTGCTCTTCCCTCTGTTTCTGCTCTTCCTCCAGAGGTCCCTGGGCCTAGCTCCATGTCTCCTTCCAGTCTCTGCTGACCTGTCACCTCTTCAGTGAGGCCCACCCTGATGTGCAGATGACTCCACTGCCCCCGTGCTCCAATTCCCTTCACCCTGCCCCAGACTTTCTCTTTCCATCCTTCTTCTGTGTTATGGCTGTTGTTTATTATCTCTCTCTCCTTCCTAGAATATTGGTTCCCTGAGGGCAGAGATCTGTGAGTGAACATTGCTATGTCCCACACGCCTGGCTGCACATGGTAGGTGCTCAATAAATATTTGTTGACTGACTGAATGAGTCCTAGAATCGGTAAAAATCAGAGCTGAAAGAAACCTTAAAGAGATCTGATCCATTAGCCCAGTGGTAGCTACAGTTGCTCATCTCAAATGTTTAAAAAAATGATCTATAGTTATATTTACTATGTATTTATTTTAAAAGTTCCTGCAGTATTAGGAACAGGTTTGTCTTCTGTGTCAATTGTGTAGCTTTATGAATTTAAATGTTGCCTATCTGAGAAATGTATCTAGTTATCAGGAAAATCAGATTTGTATATAAGCTTATATTTAATTAGAGTGAAATAATTACCTATGAGATATTGGCATTTCATCCTAATTTTAAAAACACAGACCTGGACAAAAAAAAATTGTATGATTCAAATGATGCCCTCTGCCGTTTCTAAAGCAACAGAACATTTGAAAAGATTTCCAAGTTATTTGTTAATATAACTTTATAATAGATGCTTTTAAAACACTAAATTTGAATGAAACTGCTTTGTCACTATGAAAGAGAAATAATTTCAAACAGCTGTTTTTTAAAATTGGAAACTATATTGTTCTTAGTTTTTAAATAATTACTAAAATTATAAACAGTAAAAACAAAATTTGAGTGTAGAAAAATTCTTTGTCATGGTAATTTTAAAGTGCTAATAAAATGTACTTTGAAAAAAATGCCTGGAACAAGCCATGCTGATTCCTTGGATGGAGGCATGGCAGTATGAAAACTGTCACACATACCCGGATACTTTGATGAGCCCAGATTTTGAAATATTAGACTGATTTGCGAGTACTTTGCAACAGATAAAATAGCAGGTGATGAAACTGAAGGCTTTTGCTTCCATACACAAACCCAGTTGTTTTTCCTTCCCACTAAGAAACTTCCTTGATTCTCCAGCCTTCATAGCAACCTTAACAAGATTCGAGAAATTCAACAAATACTCATCAACAGAACATATCCTACTCTCAGAATTAATCACACCCGCCTCATGTTTCTATTCCAGATTGTTTATACCTTCATAACACTACTTAATTTACTGTCTTGTATTAGAACCAATCCTGCCTATTTTGTAGCTTATTCATAATTATTATCCCCTCCATGTGCCTGTATGCTTTCTAAGAGTAAGGAGAGTATCTTACTGAATTCAGATAAATTCGCCAACATTCACTGAGTGATAATAGTGCTTGGCAATTCGAAGGATGGAAAAATCTCTGTTGCACTAGTCCTGTAAAATTACTGTTGTTACTTTATCATCTGCATTAAAAACAGAGAGCCACCTTACTTGTTTTTCCTCAAAAGTAATGTGTAAGAATTTTCATATAATTGCTAAACAAGACAGTTTATACTCAAAGAGGAACTCCTCCTAAAAACAACAGAATTCAAAAAAAATTGCTTTTGGGCTGGGCGCGGTGGCTCACACCTGTAATCCCAGCACTTTGGGAGGCCGAGGCAGGCGGATCACAAGGCCAGAAGTTCAAGACCAGTCTGGCCAATATGGTGAAACCCTGTCTCTACTAAAAATACAGATATCAGTCAAGCGTGGTAATGCACGCCTGTAGTCCCAGCTAGTTGGGAGGCTGAGGTAGAAGAATTGCTTGAACCCGGGAGGCGGAAGTTGCAGTGAGCCAAGATCATGCCACTGCACTCCAGCCTGTGCGACAGAGTGAAATACCATCTCAAAAAAAAAAAAAAAAAAATTGGTTTTGTCTATCTGAATTGACTGCAGAACCACCACATCAGTCAGGGTGCTGTTTTGTTTTGTTTTTCACTGAACATTTTATAATGTGATAGCAAGCACTCCTTACCTTAACAAAACTCATCCGGATAGTGCACATCTTGGTCAGTTCATACACAACTTCAAAGCCGTGGTGAACTGACTGGGCCAGGAGCTGAGCGAAGAGCTGGTTGTTGAAGACCTTGAGGCTGCAGCCACTGGGGATCTTGCAGACGGTGGCTGGGTGGAAGCCGTGTTGATAGTTGCAGTTCCGGCTCTGCACAAAGATGCTGCTGTCACTCACACACTCGGCATACACCTCTCCCCCGACGTAGTACAAGTGCACACCTGCAGACACAAACACACAGCCTTCCTTCACATGCCCTTTCACAGCGTGCCTCTCCCACTGATTCCTGAAACCCTAGGAGATGTGACTCTCCCCTGTCAGGTTCATTGTCAGATCACTGATCAGATGAATGAGATGTGTGACCTAAATGCCACTTAGTTTAATTATAATCTGTGCTTTTTCCATAAATCCATTTAAAAGTGGATTGCAGCCGGGTGCAGTGGCTCATGCCTGTAACCCCAGCACTTTGGAAGGCTGAGGCGGGCAGATCATTCAAGGTTGGGAGTTCAAGACCAGACTGGCCAATACGGTGAAACCCCTTCTCTACTAAAAATACAAATTTAACCAGGCATAGTGATGGGCACCTGTAATCCCAGTTACTTGGGAGGCTGAGGCAGGATAATTGCTTGAACCTGGGAGGCAGACGTTGCAGTGAGCCAAGGTAGCGCCACTGAACTCCAGTCTGGTGACAGAGCAAGACGTCATCGCAAAAAAATAAATAAAAGTGGATTGCCACCCATGTTAACAATCACCCCCAAGAACCAATCAGTAAGGTCTCATATACTATTCCTCCCATCACTCCTGTTTATTTGTTCCAAAAATAAGGTTTTGTAATATTAGAAATGAACTGAATATATCATGCGAAAAAATCAAATAATCCTTCATGTACATATACAAATTTTAATTTTTTTTTTGGCTGGAGTGCAGTGGCACGATTTCAGCTCACTGCAACTTCCACCTCCCAGGTTCAGGTGATTCTCCTGCCTCAGCCTCCCAAGTAGCTGGGATACAGGTGCCTGCCACCACGGCTGGCTAATTTTTGTTTTTTAGTAGAGACGGGGTTTCACCATGTTGGCCAGGCTGGTCTCAAACTCCCGACCTCAAGTAATCCACCTGCCTCGGCCTCCCAAAGTGCTGGGATTACAGGCATGAGCCACCGCACCCAGCCTACAAATTTTAAAATTTAAAACTGTACACAGTTAATATCATGAAAATGTTACTTAAGTGCACATATTAAACCCACTTCAGTGGAGACAATAAATGACGCTTTAAAAATTTACCAACACTTAGAAATCTGTTTCTCTTAACAAATACCTCAGAGACCTATTTCATTTAAGTTTGTCATCCACTAATATCAGTCATATAAATAATGTCTATTTTTTATTTGTGAACAGTGAAATTTCTACATTTTCAGATATGGTAATATAAAAACTCATAAGCAAAATATAGCCTATATCACTTCATCTGATACTCTTGGAATTAAAGTTCAAAAGAGCATCCTGAGGCTAGGTGCTCACACCTGCAATCCCAGCACTTTAGGAAGTCAAGGTAGGTCAATCACTTGAGATCAGGAGCTCGAGTCTAGCCTGGCCAACATGGCGAAACCATGTCTCTACTAAAAAATACAAAAATGAGCTGGACGTGGTGACACACGCTTGTAATCCCAGCTACTTGGGTGGCGGAGGCTGCTGCAGTGAGCTGAGATCACGGCACTACTGCACTCCAGACTGGGCGACTGGGTGAGAGTCCACCTCAAAAAAAAAAAAAAGAAAAAGAAAGAAAGAAAAGCATCCTGAGAATGTTGCTGCTCATGCTAATTTCCATTCCAAATTAAATTTTAGTTGATTCTTTCCCTCAAAATGTCTGGGTTTGAGATTTAATATAAATGTATAGCAAGGGACTGATGTTAGAAAAAAATGAAGAAATTCTAGTCTAGTGAATATTAAATAACAGAACAATTTTACTCCAACTTTTGATGGGAAAAAAAGTCTCCAGCACTAGAAGTCAATGTGATTATACATATGATCACTGCAGTTAAAAGGTGTTTGTAGAAACAATCCAGAATATACTTATATATTTGGGGTCTCCTCAAAATGAAATTGTGAAAGTTTTAAAGAACAGAACTTACAGCTTCCAGGGCTGCTCAGGGCCCCGTGTGCATAACTTAGAATGTAGGAAACATTACTGATGTAGCTGCTGGGAGTTTGTCAGGTCCTAAGTAGCACTTGACGCAGTTCTGCATTATATGTGATTACATCCCACCATATTTATTGTTTCCTTTTCCCTTAATACAATTTTAGAAAAGAACAATTTTGAGTAGTATGTATCCCAACCACATCATTCTGAAGCAACTGAGCCAGGGTCGCACAGCTAAAGCACAGCCCTGGATATCCAGGCCACGATTGTCCTGTCACTGCCTCTCCTCTTCCTCAGCCAGAGACTGGCTCCCCTTCTCCGCTTCCCTCAGCCTTCCTCTCCCTCCTCTATCTCATCGCTGCCACCCACTCTCCTGAATGGCCTTGGGCCCTAACCCCAGGGCCTAGGCGGTGGTGCCAGGGGGGCAGAAGGATGGTCCTAACTGGCTGGGAGAGTTACTTGGCTGAACCCTCACGATCATAAAGAGAACCCCAGGCTGGGGCAAAATGCAAACACCGCCTCCTACAACCACCCCTGTGGGCTCCAAAGGGGAAAGGCCTGCCTTGTGGGGGTGGGCAGAGGTTCTTTCAAGAGGGAAAGCAGGTAAAGGAGCCAGAGTGGAGCTGCTAAGGATTTAGTCGATATGTGAACTGAATGACCTTCAAACATATAATCCTCTCAAAACCTATTACATAAGATAAAGACGATTTTTTTGTTATGTGAGTCTGGTCTTTGGGGGTTGGTTTTCAATCATGTTCAGGTCATCTGCAACCACAGTCCACTCTGGCAAAGCTAGCAACGCAGAGAAGAGCCTGGGCAGGTAGGCAGTCATCCAGCACCCTGAGAGAGAAGAGCAGAGCCAAAGGCACCAGCACGCGGAGCCCACCCAGAAACACCAGGAAAGGGCGGAACCCAGCCTCAGGGTGAAGGAGGCCGGATTCTGGCTAGAGACACCAGCATCTGAGGAGGAGTCAAGCAGGCCAACGATGTTATTTGCATCCATCTGGTAGGCCAAAATAGTAGCTTTAAATGCTGGTGTCAGATTCAAGATCACCACAGAGTAGAACAGTGGTTCTTAAACCTTAGCTTGCAGTAAGACCACTTGCAGGGCTTATTAAAACAGATCACTACTTCAGCAGGTCCAGGGTGAGGCCGGGTGACTTGCACCTTTTTTTTTTTTGAGATGGAGTTACCCTCTTGCCGCCCAGGCTGGAGTGCAGTGGCGTGATCTCGGCTCATTGCAACCTCTGCCTCCCAGGTTCAAGCAATTCTCCTGCCTCAGCCTCCCGATTAGCTGGGATTACAGGCACCTGCCACCACGCCTGGCTAATTTTTTGTATTTTTAGTAGAGATGGGGTTTTGCCATGTTGGGCAGGCTGGTCTCGAACTCCTGACCTCAGGTGATCCGCCTTCCTCAGCATCCCAAAGTGCTGGGATTACAGGCATGAGCCACCACACCCAGCCAGTGACATTCCTTTAAATGGTACAGGAAAAGCATGAACATGTCCAGATTTTACTGCAGCCTACATTCTGACAGTTCTTGTAGGAAATGCTTAAAAGAGACATCATACCTATCATTGTTGCCATCAAATATGCCATTAATATGTTCATTATTGTAATTAAGAAGCATTAGAAGCTTCTGGAAGGAAAAGCTAATGTCACAATCCTGCAGCCTGTTCTAACTCCTAGCAATAAGGAATAAATGCCCCAAAAGAAGTACTGCCTGAGATCATAAAGAGAACCCTGGCAATGCGGCCCTCAAGCAAGTTCCACCCACATCTCGAACTACGTATGTGCCTGGGCTGTGTCTTTCTTCATCAGAGCTTCTCACTTGAGTGTGACTGCCACCCACTTTTTATGAGATCAGGGAGTGTGGAGTCCTGTGTTGTGGTTAATGAGGACCAGAAGAACCCTGGGTTTAATTTGGGTCTGCTGGGTCGAACTACAAAAGGGTGTCCCCTTTTAATCCTCTTCTGTTGTCTCGAATGACAGGAAATGACTGGGAAGAGGGTAGGCTGGGCAGGCTGGTGAGAGTGTGCAATCTCCGGACTCTACTCACAGAGGAGGAAGTCGGTGTCCCAAAGTGGAGGGAAGGTGCAGGGATACCCTCCTCACCGAGAGGGAGGCAGAAAGATCACCATAAAAGGCAGAGTGTCCTGCAGAGAATGCCGAAGCCTCTCCACAACGCTTAGGATAAAACCTAAACGTCCCAGCACAAGCACAACGCCTCCTCCTGAGTTTGTAATGAATCTTTCCCTTGCCTTTGTTGCCTTTTCTTCTGCACAGCGATTTTAGAAGCTTTAAGAAAATATATATATTTCTGAGTGTAATAATGGTATTTTAAAAAATTTCTTATATAGTTAGATATAAACTCCAATAGATGGGAAAAAGGATATGAAGCCTGAGATTTGCTCTAAAATATTCTAGCAAAAGTACTGTAGAGCGATAGATGAAAAAGAATGGCACAGAATGTGAATCTTTATTGAAGCTGGAGATAGTAAAATGAAGACTCATTGTATTCCCCTGTTTTCCTATTTCAAATTTCCCACAATAAAAAAAGTTTTAACGGGTGGTAAAAAAAATACTAATAATATAAATATACAGACTTCCAGATCCACACCAGGACCTAGGTCAGAGGATGGAGGCAGGTCCGCCACAGGACTGTGCCTATCGTTGTGCACTGCACAACCACTGCAACCCAGGGTTTGCCTCCTAGTCTTCAGAGCTTTGTGTAATTATTACAATCCTTTCCCAGCAGATGGCAGTAGTTTCTCTTGAGGAAGAGGCACCTTTTCCTAACTCACACAAAGTCATCACTGGGCTGACAGCAAGGCTGGTCCTCTAAGACTGTCCCTGATGACTGAGTCTCTCGGCACAACACGATGAACAGCTTGTTTGGGTCCGACTGCACTACACGGCATGTTCCATCACTGCCACTCAAACATGCGGCCACTCCGCCTGGACTGCACAGTGAGGTGTCTCCCTTACCACTGCTGCTGCCTCCCAGAGCATCCTTACACACCACGCGCACCCCATCCTCACAGGATCGAGAAAGCCCACTATAGAAAATTTAGAAAATACAGAC